TGAAGCTTTGATTTAAAAGCATAAAAGAGCCAAGTATACAGGAAATCTGATGGTACCAGAAATTTTTTTTAGTTATATCCAGGGATTTGTTCTTATGGCAAGGTTCAACTGTAGTTATGTCAGAAATGTACCGTAATTTCTGGAAGAAACGCCGCGGCGTTTACGTGTTTAAAACTTAAATTTTCAGCGGGTGCGGCGATTCTACCCATGCGACGTTTACGTGCACTAAAAATCATATTTCCTATGATGGTCCTTGTACATGTTTGGATGGCCTTGTCATTGTGCATAGACTGGTGCTGTTACTCACAAAAGACCACTCATTGCTTTTTGCGAACGTTATTTTGTTTACTTCTTCCTGAACAGACTTCTGCCTTATTCACCAAACGAATCTCAGAACATACATTCTTCCCCTTTTCAAATCAACTTCTCCTCAGTTCGAATTGTCTCTCTCCTCTGCCATTCTATGAATCTCTCCAGACCCAATCCTCTCCCACCCCACCTTTTTCTGCAATTTAAAAAATTGAAACAAACGCAACACACTCCACTCCTCGCATAACACTCTGACGTATTTCCCCTCAGCATAATGATTTTTTTGCATTCTGCCAGATACCGATCCATCATTTGAGTACAAGACTTGTTGGTAGTTTTTTTAAGAAAAGGGAGCGTAAATTTTGAAATGTCCCTAACGGCCAGAAGCAATACTACTGGTTTTAGCTTATGTAATTTTACGGGCGACAAATAGAAATTGAGCAGCACTCGAGAGTTTGAAGTTGACGACAGACGTATCGACGTGGAGACTGAAAACGAACTTCTTAAAATATGCCACAACAGAAATGAGCCAAAAGAAGTGGCACTGTAAGGTAATCAAAACTAGAATATGACCTTGCAAATTGGATAAAGGAGCAACAAGGAAAGGGAATAGCAATTTCGACTAAAAATTTGCTTACAAGCAAAATTTATGGTGAAACAAATGAACATAAATGATTTCAATGGAGGACCTTTGCTGGTGTAGCAGATTTATGAAAAGAAAAAATATTTCTGTCCGAACTAGAACAACAGTCGAGCAACAATTACTAATGGACTGGCAAGATAAAAAGCATCTTTTCTAAAATATGTGACATATTATTGAGAAACAAAAACTTCTTCCTTCATAGATAATAAATACGGACGAAATGACATTAGCTTTTGACTCTCTGCAAACAGAACTGTTGATGAAACTGGTGCAAAAATAGTATCCATGCTTATGACAGGGCATGAAAGGATGTCATTTATATGTGTGTTAGCTAGTGCCGCAAATGGTCACAAGATAAAACCGATGATAATTTTTAAAAGGAAAACTATTCCGAAGGGAGATGGTATATTATATATCAGGACTCAGGTGAGTTTTTGCATCTATACGGCCCACGATGTCACGCGAAATTTAATCTATGCGGCATTTTTTGTAATTTTAATATTTCCCCGCCATTTTTCTCGAGTGCGGCGTTTACGCTGATGCGGCCTTTCTTCCGGAAATTACAGTATATAAAACATATATTGCAAAATTTTAATTGTGCTAATGTAATTTAATTAATTAATATTAAGGATTTTATTTAACTGAAATTGTTTGTGACTAGTATAGCAAATATTTTTTTTTGGCAGTTAAAATTTTCAATTATATTTAATTTTCAATGCTTAGACTTTCTAAAAAAACAGAAAGCGTTTTTTTTTTTCAGAATATCTGGATGGAAGCAGAGATCGAATTACTTGGTCAGTGTCCCCAAACTGATTATTTTGGAAGGTTTTAAATGATTTATAATGAGAAACAGCTATTAAAAATATTTCATAGCTGTGGGAGGCTTTATTTACCGAGTCTTGAAAAGGAAGGAATAATTGTTTCTTTGCTTCTCTTTTGGTTTATGAATGTTGCAAGTGAAGGATAAATGAGTTTCCCAAATGGAGGGACATCTGTAAATTTTGTCAGGCAGCTTTTTGTGAGGCCAGCAGTGACTTTATGTCTGTATTATTCTCTGAAGTTAAAAGGGGTCGAATTTCTATTTTGCATGCATTTGGAGTCGACTCACTTGTTGCAGGTGTTCAAATTGTCTTTGTAGCAGAATCTCTGTTTCTATTTGTTGAGAGGGACTGAAAGTAATAAAAATAAAAAGAGAACATTTTTCCAGTTAGTCAAACATAATTTTATGTTCAATTTTCAGCCTGTAGAATTTTGATCGATAGAGAAACCGAGTTTTTGTCGAGGATTGTATAGGAGTTTTGAGTTTGGTCTGAAGTCATCAAGTAAGAAAAAGAAGAATCTAGGGCTAGCTTGTCTGCACAAGTGGTCTGGCACCCCATTTATTTCCCTGAATGGAGATTGCTTGGAGCCGAAAACTGTCTGCCGAAGAAGCAGAACTGGCATTGTCTCATGATGGGCCCAAACTGGCTGGGGTGTGGAGGATCTGCATAGCAGCTGCATGATTTCAAGCAAAGGAAAACCTGTTAGAGTGAATGACTAGAGCTCTACCTTGTATTTCTGATGAAAGTGCAATTTAGTGCATATTTAAAAGTTTTGCACTGTTCCTGAATTTACTCTAAAAATGTGTTTTGAAATAAAAATTTCTGCTGAAAGCTTAGCAATTTGAAATGAGAAATATCATCTGCTAAATTTATTCTTCTTCCAAAATATTGCATGTAAACAAACTGTGGATTATAAGATATATTTTCGCACCTTCTGTAAAGACCTCACAAGAGAAGTTGATGTTGGACTTCAGCCTGTGAGTGAATTTTTTTATCCCTGTCTTCCCTTTTATAATTATGACTAAGTAATGATCAGTTATTGTAATATACATGTAAAGGAAATGATTAGACGATTTAAGTAATGATTAGGTATTTTAATGTATATGCAAACAAATTTATTAGAAAAATTTGTGAACTATGGAATGTAAAAGTAATATTACAATAAGATATAATACGTAAAATTAGGGTACTTTATTTAGCGAGTTGAAAGTTATCTGTTTAAATGCATCTTAAGGAAAATATTGTAGGAAACTGATCAGTTAACCCAATTACTTGCTTATTTAATCTAGAATTTAATAAATGTGTTTAGTGATAAATATATGATGTTTCATTTGAGTTATTTTATTTGGTGGTTTGTCTAGTCACTCTATTTGTTTGATTTGCGAGGCTTTAGGAAACATGGAGGTTGATTTAAATAAGGTATTGCCAAATATTTTCAAGTATTAAAAACCCAATGCTTACAATTATTTGTACTAACCACTTTTTATATTTATACTTATTATTATATTGGATGATTATTGATTGAATTATTTGGTTATTTGAAAAATTAAATTAAATTTGAGAAATTAAACCAATTTATTTCCGGAGAACTGACTGATTGATATGTATGAATAATTCATCCTTGATGTTTGTGAAGTTGTAAATTAAAGGAAATGAACTTGTGGCTAACTGTAGAGATAATCATGAAATTTATTTACTCTATGTGTTTTGAAGTAATGGTATTTTCTAAGAAAAATAGCATTCTGTTTACCCAAGCACCAGCAAGGATTTATTCCTTTTCATTTTCAGGTTATTGATTAAATAAATGTGAATTTTAATTTTGATTGTGAAAATTGATTTTTAGGATATGTATTTATTGATTTAATTTGAGTTTAGATCAATCAGGAGGTTTCTCTACACAGTATGAGAGTTTTACGCTTTTTATTATTTTTTTTTAAATTGATTCTTTCTTTTCTTTCTTTCTTTCTTTTTTTTTTAAATCAAGTACCAGTAAGTGAAAAGGTTAAGTTAAATAAGTCAGTTAATTTGAAAATATATATACATATATATTTTGTGTAATTTTTTCCCTCACCTAACATAAAACATTACTATACAAAACAATTTAATGAAAAGTGCTGTTTCACACAGATACATTTTGTTTGTTGTCGTGTCCATGAAGTCAGTTAGATCGTACCATGGGTGGTGCAGACTACCATAGGTATCTCAAGGCAATTTCTTCATAGAGGTCTCCCTGGGGAAAATCACTAATTTGCTGCTCATTGCCATACAATGGGTGTGATTTGAAGCAATTTTTTTTTTTTTCTCCAGTTTTCTGTTGTTTCATGCTGCCATCTGAGAAAATACAGTTTGTCCCAGCTCCTCCATTAATTAAAAATCTTATCTGAAAATCCATCTGGGAAGACACAAACACACTCATTCTCTGAGTACGATTCCATAGTATTGATCCCTTTAGCTTTGATATTGATAAATGGATCTCTTTTATGGAGTATTGTTCATGAAGATTAATAGCAACTGTAGTATTTTGAGGTAGCAAAGATGCAAAAGTTGGCTCCTGTAGAATGGTATACTCGTAATGTTCCAGGCCAATTTGCCATCTAATCTCTTGATTGTACAGCAAGCCTTGTTTTTTTGCTCCACTTCTGAAAAGTTTTTTTTTTTTTTTTTTTTTTTTCCTAATGTGATCTTTGTTATGGTTTCTGATCTTGTTGGTGAATTTGATAACATTAAATTTCCTTCTGTTTTATAAGGTCTCGAGAGCACATTCTTGCTGTGATTTTAGATTATTTGAGGATGAGACTGTTCCAATAATTATTTTTGTTGCTCTTGCTTGTATGTTATCGAGATTAACTAATGCAGATTCTGAAACATGGAACCAGACTGGTTTTACAGATAGAGTGTGCCTGATATATTTCAGTTATACTATAGGCATAAATATTCTTAAAATTTCGACACTATTACTATCATATGGATATTTTTAAAGATCCTGAAGTACTAAAAGAATAATGATCTTTTGAGGATTTAAACAATTATAAATTCATACTTAGTATAACGATATTGTTGAATTAATTTTATTTAACAAAGTTGCTTAACAAGGTATACCAAAAGATCAAAATTGACTGCATTCAGAAATTTGTGTATGAAATTTCAAATATTTAACATTTAAAGACAGTTTTTTAAAAGCTAAGGCCTAATTGTATTTCTGTAGACTAAGGGTAATAGTTTAATATGACTAGTTTTGAAAATTTAAGTGAAAATAAGTTATTTTACAATAAAATGAAGCTTTACACCAATAGAAGAATGTTCAGGCACATATCTGAACATGCAGTCAAATACAGAGGCCACAGAGGTGGAGGAAAACAAACATTTAAAATCAAGTTGTCATGCTTCAAAACAAGTTACCAGTTTTCACAAAATGCAAGAACTGTTTCACCTGTTCAAGCATTTATAATAAATGATTATTTATTACCTCCAGCTGGAGGTACCACTTGATCAAGGAGTTCATCACTTGTGCGTTTCCATATTTTCTTAATCACTGCCCGTAATTCTTCATTTGCCTCATCAATATTTCCTGCATTACACAAAAACAATAAATAAATAAATAAAACAAGATTAATACACATTTAAAAAAATCTAAACATAGACTTTTTTAAAATGTTGCAAAATTTAACTTACATTCAGAACATTTAAAAGGTTTCAACAACCCTCATGGAATTTTTTATATAATGTTAAAAAATAATTTATAGCTTTGGAAAACTTGACTAATCTAAATATTTACATTAATTTCTAACACTGAGTTATAACTAATGATATGTATACTTCTGCATACTATTCTAACGTAGTTACACATTTAAGATTCAAATAAAGGCAAATTTAAAAAAAAAAAAAAAAAAAAACCTTAGAAAATTTTCGAAAAAGCATCTTTTTCCTTGGCCAAATAGCTCCAATACATGTTTTGCCAAAATCAAATAATCTAGTTCAATTTAATCTACTTCAGTTTACAACTTTTTTTAATGAGGTAAAGTAATACATTCATAGATGATAAATTTCTTTTTTAAGATGCAAAGTGTAAAGAAATTAAACCTCAAAGAATATAGAGTCAGCAGCATATCAAGAACGCAAATTAGCACCTCCCTGCCAATAAATGCATATTATAGATTGCTTTTGCATTAGTTTACACCGAAATAAGAGATATACATTACCAATAATTCGCATAAAAGGATAATTATAGTTTCACTATCATTGCAAACAACTTCTATGTTTGATAGAAAAGCAATTTTAACAGCATTTTGTCATTTTTACTAAAGATTCATGTTAAAATGCAATTATGAAAAGAGAAGCACAATTTTTAATCTGAGCAGCAGAAAAAATTATCCTACCTAAATATGACATTTAGCAAAATTTTATGCATATTTACATGATAAACATCAGCATAAAGAAGAAATTCAGCTTTCATTCCAAATTTTTACTTGTGATGTTTTTATTCTGACTGTTGTCTCCCATGTAAAATAGTGTTTGTAGTAGGTTCTATTCCCAAGATTTATTTTAAAAAAATGCAATTCAAATATCATCGACAGAGCAGATAAAATATCATTTTGATATGAAAACTGTGCGAGCATCTGAACAGCTATATTCTTGTGCATTTTGGTACAATATTTTATATATTGGTTGCTTATTATGGGAGAAAAAATGAAAGCTTAGCCTGAAGTTGGGAAAAAAAAAAAAAAATCTGAAATGTTTCAGATTTTAAATTACGTCCAAAGGGGCGTTTTTTTAACGTTTTGAGTGTTACCTTTATTTATTAAATATCATGTTCTTTGCACTTAAACCATAAAATTCAGTTCAAGAGCAATATCGCAAAATAATGTTAAATTAAGCATATCTTTAGAATTTCCGATATACGGTCTCGCGAGCTGGAGATAAAAGTATTTTTTTTCTATATAACGTTGTCATTTCTCGCTTTTAAAGCATTGAGTTTGTAAATCAAAAATTCATTAAAGTTTTACAAAATAAAATCTATAATAAAACAAATTCCAAATTTGGGCTTCAGATGCCCATATTCGCAGTAGGATTTCGTCATTCAAAATTCGATGGCTCTAGTACCATTGTTTATCACAATGCGAGAAATAGACAATCATTTATGCAGATTTTTCATTATTTAATTTCTTCAAATATAATGCAGGACTCTAACATTTTGTGGCAACAGTTTGAAAAGTGAACCAACGTTTATGAGTCTGACGCAAAATCGCAAAACGAAAACAATAGTCCTTCAGGGACAAAGCCCCTTTGGACTAAAAAACCCATTTCATGTACTTAAGACTCAATAACATGCCGAACAAATACTAATTCAGAAGTCAAACAACAAAAATCAGCATTATATTTTCAAAATTTTCAAAGGACTAGTTTCGGTGGTTCAGTAAAACCACCAAAACTAGTCCTGTGAAAATTTTGAAAATATAATGCTGATTTTTTTTGTTTGACTTCTGAATTAGTATTTAATGTACTTATTTAACACCAAATACAGTATGCTTCTAGACAAAAGTTTAAGCAAATTCTTCCATAAAATAGTTTGCATTTTAAACCATTAGTTATTTTTACCATTTAGAAGAGAGGAGAAAAAAATTAATTGTGAAACAAAATACAGTCAAAAGTCTTTAATCCGGACTCGTCGGGACTTCGGCGATTCCGGTTTACCGATTTTTACGGATTATAGATCATTATTTTAAATCTGGTAACATGGCATGCAGAAATTATAAAATTAAAAATATGAAACCATAATTTATGAAATAAAGAAAAATTATGATCTAAAGGGTATCAAATTTACAAAAAAAAAAAAAAAAAAAAAAGGCTTAATATTTATTTGTTTGTTTACTTTATTAAACATTTCTTTCAACGCGCGCATGCGTAAAGCATACATTATGCCGTTGAAATTAGAAAACTGCAACCAGAAAACTATTTGATGTATACTCGTGATATTTATGATGAATTTGATTTAAATCATATCAAAGACAGAGAACATCGAGATGAAATACTACATTTAGTAATGAACTAAAAGCCGAATAAAATAAAAACATCTGCCCTGAAGATAAGGATAGTGCTGACAGATCAACTTCCAGTTCATTGCGCTCCCCGACGTTCCCCTTTCCCGCAGAGCAGTGTGAAATTGATAAACAGATTTCGGAATGGTTAGAGAAACAAAGGATATGCCTTTATCCATTTTTTGCAGCAATTCCACTTTTTGTTTGATGGACATCAAAACATGCTTTCATTTTGTAGATCCTTTGGCAGTATCCAGCATTGGAAATTCTATTTGACATAATCGAAAGTTCAAGCTTACTTTTATAAAACTGCTCTGAAAAACAGTCTGCAAAAAATAATAAGCCGGATCCAATTCGAAGATTAAGGAACAACACAATCTGCAACATTAACTGAAATAGATAATTAGATAATTTTAACTTAGCTTATACCATCCGTTATACATTAAACATGCATGTGTAAACGTATTATGCACATGCATACAGGCATATGTGCATGCGTTGACGCATGGGCAGAAAGTTTGTAGCTTTGAGGTCCGGATTATAGATCATTCCGGATTAACGACTTTTGACTGTACAACTCAAAATACATACAAAAATTTCAATGTGTAATATATTTTGGAGGATGAATTTTAGCTAACCTTCTGTTTTGATATGCAAAGATGTCCTAACAAGAGCAAATAAAGTTGCATTAAACATAACAGTCCCATCACTATTTAGAGGCATATTCATGGAAACTAATTTCTGAAAGAAAAAAACAATAAATGGTGATAAACAATGATACACTGCTTTTACATTATAATTAAGAGTTTAAGAAAAAGAATTGTCAATATATAACTTTATAATGAAAAATCTTTGCATATTTATAAATTCAGTGAACTTTAAGGAAAAGAAATCTAAAAATTCAGTAGTATAAGTTATAAATTTTATAGCTATAGTCAGATGTTTAAAGAGTCAAATCACCATTTTTAACTTCTGGAAATTATATGTAGTAAAAACACAAAGATTTTGTCCCTGAATTGAAATTTACATAATTAAATTATTAATCTTCCATCAATACATTTTAATAAGAGAAATTAACATAATTGTTCTGTTCATTAAATTATTATCAGCATTAAAAGCATCAGTACTTTTGTCTCTAAAGTAACTAAATATAAAATGAAGTTATCAAATCTGTTGTGATAAATGTTATTTCTAAGTTCCATCAACATTTCTTTAAAGATAGTTATTAGAAACAAGTAGTGTAGTGTAACTATTTCTAGATTTGGTTCTTCATTAAAATATTAAATCTGCAGCTTTTCCAAATGATGCATAAAATATCTGAAATTGTTCATAAACTGAAGTAATATTATCACAATATTAACTGAAAGCTAAATTGTAATTAATTTAATCTGAGTCAAGCAATTTATATATACTGCATATTTCCGCAGATAAGAGGATAGTTGAAACATTAAAAAAGACAAAAAAACCTGGGGTCGTCTTATAGGCCAGATGAAAAAAAAAAAAAGATTAAAATTTGTATAAATTAAAACCATTATTAAATAAAATAAATCACTCACCAATGTACCTAAAATCCTGAAAAATCCTCACATTCATTATCGCAAATAGCTCCTCAAGTTCGGCCTCACTTTTATTGTTGAGAAGCTCATCAAATGTGTCCCAATTTCTACCTAGCAAATCATCAGTATTCCACAAAACAAATTGTCCTCAGTGCCACCCACAGAATTAGAAATCCCATACTTTGTTAAGGATTTGATCAGATTTCAACATGAAAACACAAAGCACATCATATCAAGCAGTCGGCATCTTTCATATACGATTTTTCACCACTCATCATTTACTTATTTTATTATTCATATATCTGATCTTTGAATGGTTTATTCCGAAAGAAGTCTATAGCATGATTCAGAGAGAAGTCATGATTCAGAGAGAAGTCTATAGCATGATTCAGAGAGAAGTCTATAGCATCAAAGTTAAATCACTTAGCAAACTTAGTATTGTTCCATGCTAAGTGATTTTTAGTGTTCTCAGTTACCATGACTGTGAAACATATCCCACACCAACAAACTATGTTGATTTCGTACAGCACCTGACTACCTGTGCTATGAAAATGCCCATGGGTTTTAGCGTTTGCCATGCATGTTAATACTACTGGAAGCCTGTTTTTCTCATGGCCTGAACTTAAACACTTTATTTGCCTTTTGTTTCCATAGTTCTATTTTTTATCAAGTTCATCAGCGTTTTATCCCTATTTCTGATATTAGATAAAAAAAGTTGTATTTTTTGCCCATTACAATAACAAACTTGTAAGTTTATGGTAAGATCTTGTATTTTTGCACAATCTTTGTTTTCTGTCATATTACCAGGTTTTTCCTCTGTTCATGAAATGACTGCACCAACCTGCTGTTTCTTTAAATGTTTTGCCTTGTTCTGGATAGGTCCGTGATCGCTTCAATGCATAAGCCCTAAACATATTTCTTGTAACAACATAACAATTTTGCTTCCAGTTTTGTACCTATTCTGCAACATTATTTTTTAAATCTGGCCAGCAAGCAATTGCTCTCCTCACAGAACATTTTTACATTGGCATTTTTTTTTAATATCATTTTCATCCTTCCTCCAGTATTTAACCATCTTCTCTGTTATATTGAAGGCTCTTGCTGCAGCACATTTGTTGGATTCTTTAGCCTTTTTATGATTTTTTAACTTGAAGGTTGCTTCGTATTTCCTTCTTTTCATTGGTTCCATGATTAGGCCTCCACTTTACAAATTTTATGCTATTTACACTTTATTTGAACACACAACATAATCTACAATGAAACTTGTTAGATGTACAGGTAAGTTCTTGATTCAGCATGTGCTTCTATAAGCAGAGCTGCAGATGCAAGAAAATGAACTTGTTAGAGGTAGATATGAGTTCATGACTTGGCACATGCTTTTATAGGCAGAGCTGCTAGATGCAAGAAAATAAAATTTGTTCCAGATGATGATCCCGATTTAAACTAAATTCATAGGCCATTGATAGTTTGGGGATCATCTTATAGAACAGATATATTCTAAAACTATAAAACTTCAACAGAAATTTATATCTTGTCTCATCTGAAGGCTGTCTTATCTATGGAAATATATGGTATATGCTATACAAGTTACACAACTTTAGTAAAGTTAAAACTGCAAGAGGAGGGCGCAAGACTTTAAAATACATAATACAATGGGTAATTTGCATACCATGCAAAAGAAATATTTGATAGTTACAAGCATTGTTTTTTGGAGGTAAGTATTAGCTAATATCAAAACTAATGCTAATTATGCAAGCTTGTCTACATTGCTTCAAATAAAATAACTTGGATCCATTTTCAGAGCTATCCACACATTTTGCCTTGCAATTTTAGTAAAACAAAATTAACCTTTTGATGTAATATTTATTTCAGCCAAATGGTGAACATCAAATTGAATGGTACTAGAAATTTCATAATTAATCTTAGAATGAAATGATTTAATTAAAAATTTGAAATTGATGAAAAAAATGTAATTTGCAGTACAAAAGTTTTAATTAAGCTACCCTATAAATACAAATTTCCATCTTTTAAAATTAAGCAAACAAAATTTACAGAAAATTAAAAAACTATATGAGAAGATATGTTTTAAAAAATCTGGAAAGATGAAAATTTAATCTAAGTGCCGAATCTATTATGAGAGGCAAACATTAAAACGATTATATATATATATATATCTGTGTGTGTGTGTGTGTGTTTGTGTGTGTGTTTTGTAAGTTACATGGCTTTTATAAAATATATTCAAAATTAAAAATAATTTTCAACTATTATAACATTCTTGGTCATATGCAACTAAAAACAAGATCATGAAGTACCCAAAAATATGCTTTTCCAACTAATTTAATATTTGATGAGCATTTCTCGACTTTTATTTTTAGCTACTTTTTACCATGTATGTAGTAATAGTTGAAAAAATATTTTAAGTTTCAGTGAATTTTACTGAAACTGTTTTAATTTAATACAGTTTTCTTACATTTCATTTTAAGCTTCAGTCAGAGTTTTGCTTCTCTCTTGAATTTTTATCAAGCTTCATGCCATTCAATTCTTAGTACATTATGCATCTCAAATTTGAGCATGAACTAGCAATAAAAAATGTTTACTTCTAAAATCCTGTTTTTAGATATTCATATTGCATGAAGTGTAAAAATCTGGATATTGGGAGAATTTGTGTAATCAACTCAATTTAATATCTGTACATCTCTATCTAACATTTCATTAAAACCTATTCATATTTTTGTCCATCAGTGTCAGAAGCTGGAGGAATAAATTATGATGAAATAATGTAGTACCATTACACAAATGTGTGCAGAAAAATTGATTCAACAGAATCATAGAAATTCAAATTTAAGATTTTACCAGCAAAAAATAAGAGAAATCAATCATACAAATATATAAATTAAATAATAAAACACACAAATAATACAGAACATAAAGAAATGCAAAAGTATTTTAGATTACTCTTTGCCTAAACTAGTGACATTTATGCACAAAATAATTAACAAGAGAACTAACTTAAATAAAATCACATTTGAAAAATACACCATTCAGTGTAAATATTATAGACACATATAAAATACTAGAAACTTTACAATTCTTTGGTAGCCATTAGGCTACATCAATCAGAGCTTTTCTCTCAACAATATTGTTATGGATTTTGTAGCAATCTTTTGTGGAATTTGTAATTAAAATTGTTTTATATTCCAGTGCAATGCAGCACGTGACTTATTCAAAGAGAAAGCTACGCCAGAGAAATTAAAATACAGGAGCACGTGCATTTAACATTTTAATAAATAGATATCTCGTAATTGTACTTTTTTGCTATCTAGAAAAATCAAGTAAATACCAGAATGTTCTTGTGCAGATTTTAAAAGCTTATAAAAGCCGAAGAAAAACATCTCAATTTAGTTGTTTACTTAGTGCTGTTGTCACTGAGCTATTTTTCCGATTTGTATTACATGACAAGTAATAAACGTGTAACTCGTCATAAAACTGCTTAACAAACTTAAGTTTATGAATTTATTTTTAAATTAAGAAGTAAGACATTCCTTTTGTTTTTCATTGCAATATCCCTCTTCTATCTTATAATATATCTTTTATATATTATGCTACAGTGATTAAATATTTTGGATTTCTGGGTTTCAAATATTTCAATAAAAAAGCGATAACCAAGAGTGGTATGTGTTCATCATGTATGTTTGGCTAATAAAACCGATAACATGCAAAATATAATTAATTTTTAAAATACTAATATTACATAAGAGCAGTAATTGATACATATTATTGACTGTAAGAATGGTTTAGTCTGTTGAATCTTTCATTAGCATTAGAGAAATAATCCACTAATGTTTTGTATAATGTAGGATGTAATTTTAGGGTGTCAGAAGTGTTGCATTTTATTTATGTATTTGGAAAGGTATGATAATTTAACAGGGTTCATTCGGTCCTTAAAAATAAATAAAGCCCTTAGATTTTTTATCTTTTTTGGGAATGATTTTTGGTCCTTAAAAGTCCTTAATTTCTGAAAAATCGGCAAAATGTCCTTAATTTTACTCATCTGACATTCCTCCGTTGTTTTTTTTTTTTTTTTTTTTTTTTTTGGGGGGGGGGGGAGGCGACATTTTGAGTGTGAATTACCATTTTGAAAGAATATATTTTCATGATGCATTGACAAATATGTATTTCATGGGT